ATGAATCCGGCAATCGAATGAAAACCGAGAGAAAGTCCCCAAATGAGCCTCCAGCCGCTGTTTGGGGCGTGCCGGGGTCGGAGTCGGAGTCGGAGTCGGTTATCGGTGATTCGCCAGATTTGCAAGCCAAAGCATTTTTTTTAATCGACACATCCACAACAACAGCCCGAACAATATCCGCAAATACAACGGCAACAACAGCGCCAACTGCCGCAACGGACAGCTCTTCCGGGTCACTGGACATGGTCCGTTCTACCACGGTTTGTTTGCCATACTTGTAGATAATTCTTATGCAACAGTCCATCCAGACAATAACTTTCTATTTCACCTGTTGCATTGCGATCTGCCGGCCTGCATTTCATTTATTTTTGGATTGCGAGCGTACCGTGAAAGCGCCCATTACATAATGGATGCATTGCAAGTGGCAACTAATATTATGCGAGTGCGAGTGCGAGTGCACGGGTGCACGATGATGATGATGATGATGATGTGATGTGTCTGCTGCTCTCACTAATTTACATATTAGCAAATGGTCTATGTATTGGCAGCTGCATCTGATAGCCCAGAGATTGACTGCCCCGAAGTCTTACTTCGGATTACATTCCAAAGTTGACAGACAACCAATCCAGAGTGCTTTTAATTGCTTTCTTAACACAGTTCATGCCACACTTCGAGCCAATTGAACAATGACCCACTTCTTAAAAGCCTTATCCGCTATCCGCCACATTCAATTTGTTTGGATATCGAACAAAAGCCAACAAGCGCATTAAACAGTTATAATTAAAGCCAAACAGCGATGCGAATAGAGCCAAATTGAAAACTGTTATAAACCTGCTACACCCACATTAGCATAAGCCCAAAACGAAAACATTTCGTATGCAAAACCAACACAAAACTTGACCGAATTCCGGATACCTCTCACGCACTAGAGCACACAGCCAGTGGTGTCTGCGCTCCATTCACATCAGCCGCGTGTTTGTTGACTCTGTGAGGGTATCCGGCAAATGTAATTAGCATAAAAACGAATAAAATGTGAACTTGAAACTGCCCGTTGGGTATTTGGTGCTTCACAACAAAAGCAACAGAGCCAACGATCATCGTCATCTAACTGTGTCATGATTCACTTCGAGACACACACTGGCTCTAACTTTATCCCAATGCGAGTCTGTGGTCTGTGGGGACTGGCTAATGCGATCGTTTCCTCAGGCAGCACGTGACTGTAGTTGCTGTTAATTGCCCACCTTGCCACCTCCCCGCCAGCTGTCCAGCTGTCCAGCAGTCCAGTTTTATGTTCGAGTGTAGCGCAGTGTAATGATGCAAATGGCATTTCAATTAAATGAAATTTCATTTGGCAGCAGTAGCAGCAGTCGGTGAAGGTTGTCCGTTAACAGTTAACATCATTACAAATTGGACAGCCCCAAAAAATTGTCAACGTCGGACACGGACCCAATGAACTTGGACTGGGCGATCTGCGTGTTTTATATTCCAGTTGTAGTTGTAAAAATTGCACCACTTTGATGACATTGTTTCAATCTCTATGTAATTGCAGGAGACGACGGCCTGGAAGACCCTGACCTCGCATCCGAATTCGCTTGTCCAGCTGCTGCCTTCGCGGGCGATGCGCGTGGTCCAGGAGGTGGTGCGATCTCTGCGGGTGAGTCTCAAGCCAGCCACTGGCTCGACCTTGCGCCGAGCATTGTCAAACATGTGTGTTGGTAAATCTGCTTGACCCAATCAAATCTCAACTTGAACGTGGAGTGCTAAGTGCCAGATGGCCAAACATGGCCAGGCTGCAGCTGCAGCTGCAACTGCAACAGAAACCGCCATAGCCAAATCAACTTCAACTTGGGGCTGAGGTCGAGTCAATAGCAAAGAAAGATCTGACATTTGAGAACCGCCCGAAGCAAATTCATTCTCGGCCTAAGTGGAGGCGAGAACTGGCTTTTCATTTTTGGCCATCGATCACTGAGCATTGACCGAGGCGATTGCGCAACACTTGCACCATGGCACACATTTCCCCCAGTGCCCGAGTGCCTGGTGCCTGCGGCCTGCTAGCTGTTGCCTGATGCCGGTTCTAATGCAAATTCGTTGCGCAATTCTGCATTCTTGGCATTCGCGCCATGTAACTGTATTAATAAGCAATTAAAAATTCACAAGCACTTGAGTTACCCCAGATTAAACGAAGATTTATTCCCCTGCAAGCAGAAGGAGCGTGAGATTGTGGCGACCACAACGCTGGGCAAGGTGAGGGGACGCTTCCAGAAGTACCGCTCTGGGGAGAGAGGAGGCTACTACAGCTTCAAGGGGATGCGCTACGGAGCGGCACCAATCGGAGCCAGAAGGTGCGTTGAACCGAGACACTGATGAAGCAGCATTTACCAAGATTATCTCCCACAGATTCCGCTCGGCAGAGCCGGAGAAGCCCTGGTCTGGCATCCGCGATGCCTCCAGGGAGGGCCAGAGCTGTCCGCACAAGAACATGATCCTGGACACCTTCAAGGGAGACGAGGATTGCCTGTTCGTCAACGTATTTACCACCCGCATGCCCAAGGAGGACGAGGATTCCAGCGAGTCGAGCAGACGGCCAGTGATGGTGTGGCTGCATGGCGGCGGCTTCTCCTTCGGCTCGGGCAATGCCTTCCTCTACGGACCGGACTACCTGGTGGCGGAGGACATTGTTCTCGTCACGCTCAACTACCGACTGGGTCCACTCGGCTTCCTCACGGCTGGACCCGATGCGCCTGGCAATCAGGGACTGAAGGACCAGGTGCTGGCCCTCAAGTGGGTGCGAGACAACATTGCCGCCTTTGGTGGTGATCCCGCTCAGGTGACCGTCTTCGGGGAGTCTGCAGGCGCTTCCTCGGTGCAACTACTTCTGCTGTCGCCCATGGCCAAGGGCTTGTTCCACCGGGCCATCTCGCAGAGTGGCTCCGCCCTGAATCCCTGGTCCATGTCCGCCAATTCCAGCAAGAGAGCCTCCCAGCTGGCCGCCAATCTGGGCTACGTGGGTGCCAACAGAACAGAGGAAATCCTGGACTTTCTGCGCCGGGTGCCAGCGATGAAGTTGGTGGAGGCAGCGCCGACCACCATCACGGTAGAGGATCAGCGCAACAACATCGGACTGCCCTTCGTGCCGAATGTCGAGGGCTACTGGAACCAGGACTCCGCGGAGGAGCAGTTCTACGAGCAGCCCTTCATCACCCAGCATCCCAGTGACATGTACCACGAGCAGAACTTCAACAGCGACGTGGCCTACATGACGGGCTACAACACCCACGAGGCAATGCTCTTCATAAGAAGTACGTGTGGGACATTCCCTCTCAGAGTACTATAAATACTAAACTATCTGCCATTTAGGATTGCGGAAGAATCCGCAGCTGCTGGGCATAATCGAGAACGACTTTGGACGCCTGGTGCCGCATGACTTGAATGCCACGCATGTCCATGACAGGGTCACCCGTGAGATTCGTTCCTTCTATCTGGGGAACAAGCGTGTGGGCATTGAGTCTGTCGATGAGATGATAGCAGTAAGTGCAATGCATGCAACGATCCATGAACTTCAATGATTCTTGTGAATTATCCCCATTGCAGCTCCTCACTGATCTCATGTTCCTGCAAGGAATTCGCCGTACAGCCCGTAATCATGCCAAATATGGGAGTGCTCCCGTGTACATGTACCGCTTCTCCTTCGATGGTTCTCTGGGGCTGTACAAGCGAATGCTCGGCATTCCCCGACCGGGGGTGTGTCATGGCGATGAGCTGGGATATCTCTTCAAGTTTGGCTTCTTCAACCTGAGCCTGGACCCCAAATCGCTGGAAGTGCAAGTGAAGAATCGCATGGTGCGCATGTGGACGAATTTCGCCAAATACGGGTGAGTTTTTGAGCAGAACTTCTCCAAGTTTTCTGGTAACCAATTAACTATGACAATGCAGCACCCCTACGCCCGATGTCGAGGATTCGCATTTGACCACCAAGTGGGCGCCCATCGATCCAACGAATGTGATGAACAGCCTCAACTATTTGGATATCTCGGGAACGCTTGCCATGAAGACGAATCCGGAGCCGGAACGACAGAGGTTCTGGGACGAGATGTATCAGCATTATAATGGTGCTGCCATGTAAAGTGAAACCACACCCAAAACACACACATATGCACCACAACACACACACACACACACACACATACAACACACATATATTTCGTATTGCCATTTTGTGAAAGAGAGCGCACGAAAGCCAGAATATTTAAATGCAAAACTTCATTGTACAATTTTCGTAGTTTGTAGGAATTTCTAGCTATATTCTTAGCTATATTAATTAGCATTTTAGCTTGTAAGTGTTGCAGCATTTATCCACCCATACACCCATCCTCACATGTACACATCCACCTACGCACTATTCTGATAACCAAATGTCTAAACTTCTTTCCTTACCACATGCCACAAATTATGTACGATTATCGGCAATAATCAGCTGTAAATAGTCAGTGTCTATCATATGTCGAATGCCAAGCAGAGAACCGTTTTACGATGTTTTTGTAGAAAGAAATAAATATTATTTTATTTTTAAACCGAATTTGATTGCCTTTGAAAATCTGCGACCAAATCGGCGTGTGTCGCCATCTAGTGTTGAAAAAACATACTAACTTATGTTGCATACTTTTGGTCTGGCTACGCCATCTATGTGTGGCCATGCATGTTGAGTGATTTCGTGGTGAAAAACTCCATTGAAGAAATACTTTTAGCAGAAAACATAGAAATCTCTCAGAAGTCAGCTAATTAAGAAAGTCAATCAAAACAAATTGCAAACTTGTACAGAAATAGCCACACAGCCGGAGGGAGGCCTTTCGATGGATTTGACAATAAATTAACACCCACAGCCCGGCCAAAGGGGAATCATATCATAAAGTGGCTGTTTGATTGACTACAAATTTTGCACTTGGCGTGAGTAGAGGTTGAGTCGCTCTCGAACGGGTTGGCTCGTTCGCTCGTTCGCTCGGGATGCCACATGCGAGTGTGTCTCGGGGGAGGGTCGCGCACTCGCCCGCTGGGCAACAAAGCTGATTATTCAATTATAGCAGCGGCTTTGGCGCTCTTCATCTGCGGCAACGGCTGCTGCCATTCACAATTTAGTGTCTCATAAATTATGCTGTTGCTGCCACACGGTTATCATTGTGACCGCGCACACAACCCACACCCCCTCCCCGGGACCACCGGGACACGGCCACGGGCATGGACACGATGGGCACATGACGGAAGAGCATTGAAAGCAACACTACCGCATGGAAACCAAAACGAAACCAAGCTGGCACAGACTTTGTGCTCGGGTTGCTGACATTTCGGAAATGTTTCAAGCTTCGGTTCATTCCACACCCACTTACACACGACACAATTTGTTTTATTTGTTAATTTTATATTTTACACGATTGATTCTGCGATGGCAGTGGCCAGGCCAACGGTTAGACCAATGAAGGCGGTTCGTGTTTGTTTCCTCCGGAATGGGGATCCACACTTCAGAGGCGTCACACTGTCCGTGTCCCGGTACCACTACAACGACTTCGACATACTCTTGGGGCACGTCACCACAGTTCTGCACTCACATGTGGTGCTCCCATCCACAATCGAATGTATTTGGCGCATCGATGGCACTCCGATTAGCTTTCTGGACTCCTTTCTGGACGGGGACGTTGTCGTCTGCTGCTGCCGGTACGAAAGCTTCAGCCAAATGGACTACTCCGTGAACAAACACTTCGGGCGGCTGCAGGCGGCGATCCGTCGCTGGAAGGTCTGTAACGAAGCACTGCCCGAGGACCTTTCCGACTCCATTTTGCTAGACGTGGACAAACGCCAAAGTTTGGTTAGCAATGAGAGAACCGCCATCTGCATGGCTGAGCCCAAGTCGAAGCAAATGGGCAGCTGCATTGTCAAGGTGGTGAACGAGGCGTTCATGCTGAGTCTCGATGCCGAGTACAAAGAGATGGACATCATGCGCAAGCTGCAGTCCCACCCGAATGTCGTGGATCTGCTCTTCACCGTGCACAGGCCGAAGGACTGCCACATCTTCCTTGTGATGCAGGCAGTGGCCTGTAGCGTGCAAGATTTGAGGAAGCTCCACGGCAGCATTCCCGAGCCCACAGCCAAGCGGATCATGCGGGATGTCGTCTCTGGCCTGATCCACATACACGGATGTCATGGTTCTGGCAAGTTCTGGCTTAAGGACAGTGTCAGCAAGGATGCCAAGGAACTGATTGATGAGCTGTTGATGAAGAACCCAAACAAGCATCCCTTTACGCCCAGGGATGGCACAACAGATTTTAAAGTAAATAATAATAAATATATAATATAAAATAATAATAAAATTCAAAAGTGATTTAACACTTAACACAATTGGCCGGTGCTCAATGGTCTGCAATGATTTATGTTCGGGGTGTCGAATTTTAATTGGTGAAACGCTTTCAAAATTAATTACGCATAACTTTTGTTCACACCGTGACATAATTATTTGTACTTGCACAATGCAGCCAACAGGCAGAGGAAGAGATTATCTTGTTTAAACAGAGATTCGTACAAAAATTACAACCACCAAGCGCCACCTTGTACTCGAAAGCTGCAGGCGAATGGAATTGTTGGAGCAGACTGTAAGCCAAATGAGTGAGTGATATACTTATCAGTATATTTACACGAGCTCTCATGCATTTATTTGCGATCGCAGCAATCACAGATATTTTATTTAATTAAACGGCGCAGCGCATACCAAATATTACGAACCCATGCGGCACCCCCTGCTGCACTTTGCGATTCAAGGTCGCCGGTGCCACCCCATTTCTTCTCTCCAATGACACACAGATAAGGAGAGCTTATCACGCTTATCTGCCGCTTCGTTTTCAATTTACAAATCATTTCAATTGAACTTTTTCCCTGGCAGAGCAACCGCCAGTTTTATCTCTGGGCTCTATCTGTATCTCTATCTGTATCTGAGAGCATCGCCAATCTGCAGCGTGGAGAGTGTCATTGTGTGTGTACTTGAGTACTTCTCTTTGCTGACATGTGTGAGTCTGTAAGCGAGCTCATTTACAGCCCCGCTTTCTGCTCACAACTTTTGTTTAGTTTGAACAATTTTCTTGCTGTCGTCGTCGTCGTCGGCGGTGGCGGCAGTCGGCCGTCATTTAATCCATTGGACTGACTTGCGGATCTCTCTCGGTGTCGCAGTAGCAGGCGCAGTCGCAGTCGCATTCGCAGTCACAGTTGTTTCTGTCATCGCTGTTTCTGTTTCTGGTGTCGGTCGCGGCTTCTGTTTGCTCTGCGCTCACAGTGTTGTGTGTGCTGTGTGCCCTGTGATCTCTGGGGCTCGTCTCATTCCCGGTCCGGCGAGCGGCACTGAAACAAAGCGAGTCCCAATCTGCAGAGATCGTAAAATTATATTTATTTCGGCCGTTTCGTCGGTCTTTAGCATAACAAAAGGCCATCCAACAAATGATCGGCCTAAAGGTGTCAATTAATTGAACATTTGTTTGCTCATAAAAAGGTGCTAAAACTGTTTAAGCTGAAACGTGCCCGGCCAGCAGCTAATTTCAATTCACATTTCTAGGGTGCTTTGTGTGTATTTGAAGGTATTCAATTAAGGTATTCTTAAGTGTTTGATCTCGTGAAGAGTGCGCAAAATCTCCAAGTGTTATGGTTACTCTTCCCATTACGTTCATCCCTTGTTGTTTACCTTTACAACATCCGCAAAAATCTGATAGGAATCAGCTGACATTTCTCGCACCTGCCTTGCACTTATCACAAGTTTCTGTTTACCCACTCGGCGGTTTACTGATACTCGTACTCGTACTTGTACAGACATAAATAAATTTAATTGAAAAAGTAACTCAAGCGGCTCCTTCAACCGACACATCCCACAGATGCGCTTCAATTTCTCGAGCCACTCGGCTGCCCCGGCAGCAGCAACAGCCACTCCAGCGACAACAGCAACAAATGGCAACGAGAAGGCCTCGGCCACCCAGCCCTTGAAGAGGGCCATTGAGAACGATCCCGATTCGTTGGACAGTGTGATTAGCAATCCGCAATCGTTTCCCATCACCATAGTGCCCAATCGCCCCGCGAGCTTCTATGGAGTGGCGCCCAATGGCAAGGCTTTTCAGCGCCAGACGAGCTGCAGGTGAGTCTGAGGGATGGAGGAGGGTGCCGACGGGTATTTGACTACTCTAAGTAGCTCAGTCAATAGTTGAACATTAGTTAGAGCGACTCTAATTGGATCGGCCAACTCTGCGGCTGTATTGGGAACCGATGTTGGCCTGGCTGGAAGCGTGTGGCGAGGAACTTCAGTCGAGTGTGGTTACGCGAAGTCAGAACGTCATAAGTCAGCAGCTAGTCACATCCTTCAACATGCAGGTGCCGCTCAGCGATGTCCAGGTCCTGCACGATCCTGCCGATGAGGAGACCATAGTCGGAAATGGTGGAGGCGACCAAGAGGAGACCTTCGCCCACATGAAAGAGTGGAAGCGGCAGTACATGAGGGGCATCTCGCACACGCCCTCCCAGGCTGGAGTCTATTACGAGGCCCTCAAAGGATCCAGCCACTCGTTGGCCAAGGGGTGCGCATATCTAATTGTGATAATTGTACACAGAATCGTTCTGTACAGCACAGTGTGTCTTTCCGGATTGTAATTAGCTCGTCAAGGGGTCTGACATTCAACTTGAACTTGCCGACAATCAATGGGACTGGGCCTCTCTCGTCTGTTATTATGACTGCGTGTCACGTTGTCGCATCTCATGGGCTGCTTTGTCTAGCTGATTAGCAGCGTGTTGCCCGTCGCTTGCGGTTGTAATTTATCTTGTTCCGCCCACAGTTTTTGTATTTTCGCAATACAAATCCACCTCACTGCAGATTGCATTCCGTCCGATTTAGGGGCACGGCCAGGCACCGGGGGTAAACAGAGGTATATGCTGTCTCTCCCAAATCACGGTGATTTGTTCTCACATTTGTCACTCGTTAAACGCTTTGGCTGAGGGTTTCCCACTGGAAAATCTCTCGGGCACTTTCTTCCCCATCAACTGTCGGCAGCTTCAGAGAATTTTCGGCTACTGCGTTGGCGGCTCAGCGCAGTGGAAACAATCAAGAATTAAGCGAGTGCCGACAAGCCACACAGCGAGATAATGAATCATCGCCAGAGAACTACTGGCACATATACCACTGACCGAGCGTTAAATTCGATTAGCGACTATTAATGCAACCGACACAATGCCAATTAATCGGCTCTGGCTCGGGCTCCGTCTTCGAGTGTCAATGGGGGGTTAAGGCAATTTGCAGCTGAGCGCTGCCATCCCATGTGGGTGTTGCATTCCAGTCCAGAGCAGAGCAGAGCAGAGCAGAGCAGAGCAGGCAGACAGCCCTATTAAATCGCATAGTGACAACTCGTGGCAATAAGTAGACACAATAAATCAGGCACTTTGTGGGTGAGCTGCAATTAAACCAGTAATCGAGGGAGGTAGGCTGCGATTGCTCTGTGGCCGGTTCTGCTCTGGTCGCCTTCCGACATTGGCATTGTTAATTAGATGCAATTCTCGCTGGCTCTGTCCAAATCCAGCGACTGCAAATGTGCACACTTAATTTACACGAACTAAACAGGCAATGTCTGGACATCTAATTCTAGATGTCACTGCCATAAATCATGGACAGCAAATGCCATTGAAATGCCAAGAGGAAGCTCTAGTCTAAGGAGAGATTTTGACTTGAAATTTTAATATTTACCCTGATGTAGAGCATCCCAAGTCTAGTGTCTAATTGATGCGTAACATTTGAAATAATTCAATTTCTTTCAATTATTTGTATGCCGTGCAGGAAACTGTAAGTTCAATGTAATTATTACGCGTATTCTACATTGAGGTGTAGCATTAAATGCTGCATACTTTCAAGCTGCGCAATAAAAAGAATATTTTTCGCGTGAGCTGAGGGTTGGTTTTCGGTTGGTCCTGAGTTCCCATTGCAATGCACTGGATTGAATCGATCCGTTAATTTTCCCCTCCACAGATCTCGCAATTTTCGTCCTGGAAGCATGCGGCGGGTGCGCAGAAGAGCCGTGTTCAAGAACGGCGACTGCAATGTGGTGCAAAAGCATCTGCAGAGAAGGCGACTGCGCTTCATGCAGGACATGTACACAACGATGGTGGACTGGCAGTGGCGGTGGACACTGCTGGCCTTTGCGCTGAGCTTCATACTCTCCTGGTTGTTCTTCGCGCTCATATGGTGGCTGATCATCTACACGCACGGCGATCTGGAGGAGCTGCACCTGCCGGACAATCAAGGTGAGTGGAGAGGCACTACAACTATCCAAAATAGAGATTATCACATGGGTTTTGGTTCTAACAGAGGAATCTGGATGGGCGCCTTGTGTGTCGGCCATTGATGGCTTCACCTCCTGTTTTCTGTTCTCCATTGAGACACAGCACACCATTGGCTACGGTGTGCGAACCACTTCCACGGAGTGCCCCGAGGCCATATTCATGATGTGCTTCCAGTCCATCTACGGCGTGATGTCCTCTGCCTTCATGGCAGGCATTGTCTTTGCCAAGATGACCCGAGCCAAGCAGCGGGCACAGACGCTGCTCTTCTCCAAGCAGGCGGTGATCTGCCAGCGGGACGGCAGTCTGTCGCTGATGTTCCGTGTGGGTGACATGCGGAAGTCCCACATCATTGGAGCCGGCGTCAGGGCCCAGCTGATTCGAACGAAGAGCACCAAGGAGGGCGAGGTGATGACACAGTTCTTCACGGAGCTGGAGATCGGCAGCGATGACTCGGGCTCCGATTTGTTCTTCATCTGGCCCATGATCATCGAGCACAAGATCGACGAGAACTCGCCGCTCTACAATCTGAATGCCACGGACATGCTGCACGATAGGTTCGAGATTGTGGTCATACTCGAGGGTACGGTGGAGTCCACGGGCCAGTCCACACAGGCCAGATCGAGCTACATCAACACCGAGATCCTGTGGGGCCACCGCTTCGATCCTGTGGTGCTGTACAACAAGGATCTGCAGGCGTACGAGATCGACTATGCCCGCTTCAACGAGACCACGCAGGTGGACACGCCTCTGTGCAGTGCTCGGGAGCTGAACGAGATATACAAGATCCAGGAGGGCTTCCGCACACCAGGTATACAATGGAGCCGTCCTGTAATTGCTCTTCCTAATGCATTGTCCCCGTTTTGTCCAGCAGAAACCACCTTCACCATGCGTCAGCTGTCCCACAACCATTCCGATCAGGCCTCCTAGAGCCCGTGCCCCGTGTGTCTCGTCTTTCCATGTTCCATGTTGCTATAGCTTGTAATCGTCTCTGTTCTATGTGAGTTCCATTCGTCTGTTATTACATACTTTACCCAAACGGTATGATTATTGTTCCATTTCAGCTTCACATACGATCCGTTCGCGGCACTCGAGTTCCAGTTCCGGCTACCAGTCGCCCCAGGACCGGCGACTGCGCTGGCAGCTCTCGGTGCCCTTGTAGAGGCTCCACTTCACTCCACTCCACTCCACTCTACTCTATCGACACTTAAGGCAAAGCTAAACTTCTCTTACCCATACGAAAATAAGTTAATAAACGCTCGAGTCCAAATTGCATGTCCCTGGAAGTCCATACAAATGACACATAATTGCCTCTCTCTCTCTCTGTCGGCGGGGCAGTGGCAGTGGCTGTTGCAGTTGCAGTTGCAGTTGCAGCTCTTTGCGGTCCAACCCACTCATTAGGCATCATTAATAATCCGGGCATATCAATGCAAAAAGGTGCCAAAAATGTTGCACACCTCAAAACAAGTTCGTTGCCCAAGTCTTTTGTTTGTGGGCGACACTCCACGACACACCACTGCGGTGGGTTACCGGTTGCTGCCACGTTACTGCTGCCAGAATGGGCACTCGGATTGGATCTGATCTGGCGCTAAGGCTCAACATTCATATCCTTTTAATTGAAATTGAATCAATAACTCTTATTTGCGCAAACTAATCAACACTAAATTATAACACTCACAGAAACAACTCGAATATTTATTATCACATTTATCACGGGACAGCGCTCCCCTTTGACTGACTTGGTTGGGGATAGGTGTAGGGGCTACGGCGGTAGGGGTAGTACTGGGCGGGAATCTAATGAAATGTGGGTGTGGGTCAGATGTATGGTATGCCCCATGCCTTGGCCATAAATACAATGCCAAATTTCAGCAACTCTATTACAACTCACCCGAAAACAAAAATTACACAAGAAAAAAAAACAAAAAGCTCAAGAAAAATGGCTTAAACGAAATCGAAATGAATGTTGGCTGCCAAAGCCTTGCGGCGGGGGATGGGCGGGGAGTGTTTGCAGTTTTGCGGTGTGGTGTGGTGTGGTGCAGAGTGGGGTGCTGCCTGCTGCAGTGTTGAGTGCTGCACTGCGTCCTTAACCCACTTATATCGCGGTGGCAGCACTAGAACATGCCAGCAGCTGAGCGGCGGTGGCGGGGCGTGGGGCGAGCTTTATGTTTAATTACTTGTTAAATGTTTTGTCGCTTTTATCTGCACACATGCTTAAGAGCTCCATTAGCCCCTGCTTGAGCACCCACTACTCCAAGCCTGCCCAGGCTCAGGCCTCCAACTCCAAGCCTCCATTGGAGTGACATGCGTCTCCATATGCCGGTGGAAGCCATGTCCCCATACCGTTTGGCTTTTGTGATTGGCTTCGACGAAACGTGCCCGCCTGATCGAAAGAATTAAAATATTATTCGCGCATGAAACGTTGCAGGCACCGAGCGCCGCATGTGGCACTCTGACTCTGGCTGCGACTCTTGCTGTGGCTACGGCTGCGGCTGTGGCTATGGTTGTGGCACGTTTCGAAGACAAAAGGCGCCACCCAAATGGCTCCATCCACTCCAACCCGCAGGTCATAGCTGTCCCCCCCTCCCAAAATATAAATATATCTGCCAGTTGGGCAAAACAATTTTTCGTGTAATTTTTAATGTGCGCCAGAGACACGTGAACAAATCATGGGCCACAAACGTGGTCGCTTTGTCAGGCTAAGTATGTCGAATACTCCTCGAATTTGACACAGAAAGAGGCAGACGCCCCATGAGCTCCGAAATTGGAGCACATGGAGTGGCAGTTGAAGTGGAACTGGCAGCTTCCCATGGCCCATGAACACGCCTGATATTCCAGTCATAGGCAACATTTTATTGGCAAGAGCGAAACCCTGGGACTGGGACTGGGACTGGGACCATAGCCTAATAAAGACATCAATTTGGGCGATGACTCAAGTGGCTTTCTGGCAGGGATTCGGGCCCGGGAGGAGCTGGTGATAAACGAGGTTGCAAAACAAGCTCTAAATTAACTGCGGCGGGACGGGGACGGGCAGTGCGAACAAAACAAAAGGTAGAACATGCCACATAACTCATCCATAATCAACACTGTTTACATAAATTTCAAAAATTATTACACGGCAACAGTGGCCAAGGGCCTGCAAAACCAGGGAACTCCATCAGTCTGAGGATCGGTTCGGGACAGAGGAACTTCGACTGGGACTGGCTTTGGGTCTGAAACCTGGAACTGGAACTTCAACTGTGACTGGGTATGCGTAGTGGAGTGTGGAGTGGATACTGGTGGAGAGCGCGTGATGAATGCTTAAATAATGCGCTTAACCCTGTGCGAACATAATTTATGGTGTGCGGATATGCATGAGTGCCAGTGCGAGTGTGAGTACGGGTATGGGGCTGTACGAATACTTGTAAGTACGAGTGTACGAGTGTACGAGTGTATGGACAGTCGGTCAGCAACACACGCTGTTTTCATTGTTATTACACGGACGTTGCCGTTGCTGTTGCCGTTGACCAATCTGTTGTACCTCGGCCCCTCAGCCTCTGGGCTTGTGTTTGCTGCCATTTTTACCAAATTGATTAATTACGGTCATTCTGGGCAGGCAACGGAGGGACTTACTCTTCCATATGCACGGATGGCCCAGCAGCCGCTGCATAAGTAGCATAAAAACGCTGGCCATAAAACGCTGGCCAGGAAGCCGGCAGGCAACATTGGCCACTGTGGCTGGGGGCTTCAAGTCATTTGCCACTAAGGACAAAAGCCGCCAAAAAATGAAATTACTCAAGCATAACGGACGAGCCAGGGATCTGCTTTGCAGTCCCATAGTCTTGCAGCCACATGCCGCAATTGATTTAAGTTACTTCCAAAACGCCAGAGAGGGCAGAGAGGACTACGACATACTGTATTATGTACCTAGTTATATGCATATACCACGATTATGTACCTATAATTATGAATAGCCGCTGGGCGTGCTGCATGTTCTGCTGCAAATAATAAGCATTTTTAATGTCGCAATAACAATAACTGCTGGCCGGACTGGGGGCAAAATAATGCTTAACACGCCGTTGCTGCTGACATGTTCGAGTTGATGATGCTGCTGCAGCCCCCTAGGGCCTGGACTGGGACTCGGGATTCGGGTTACTCTCCATACTGGAATAAATTGATACTAATTATTTCTGATGGGAATTATTAAGTAATTTTCATACTAGCCGACACGCAAGCCTGCCGATCATTGGCTCTCTGTTTTATTTTGTTTTATTTTTCTTAATTAATTATATTTATTAAATAACATAATACATTAGCGCTTGCACTTGTTGTTATGCTTGCTCCAATTAAGGAAGTGCCACTCCAAGAAAACGCTCAGGCCTGAAACGAGATCGAAACTGGAGTCCCGACCAAATTGGCTATCGGCTCGACCGGTTTCCTTTTAGCTCATTTTTTCCGTCTCTTGGCATTGTTGATAACGCGCTTTAATTAAAAATCTGCATACATTTTTGGGCACTGCCAAGTCGCGATGTTTTTTGCCCCCATCCCATCTGTATTTTTTCAGTTCGTTTTCTTTCTGCGAAGACACGCCGAAATAAAAAAGGAGAATATCAAAATCAAAAGCGGTGCAGGCTCTTTTATGACAGATCTCACTTTAAAGTTGACGTCCGAACTGTCAGAAAATAACACTTGAAGTCTGTGGAGAAGCAGCAGTCCCCCACGAACCCTTCCCCTGCCCATCCACTGCCCTGCTCCTTCCTGTGGCTGAATTCGTATTATTTCTGAATTCGTATTATTTTGGTGGCTTTTGATGTGAAGTGAAGTTAATTTAGCGAACTTCAACTGACACAAAAGAAATTGCTCAATGATATATATACTTGGACATTTAGAGCGCTACATACATAAAGGTTGCATATTTGTACATCTGTATAAAAGGGCAAGGGCCTCTCTCAACCTTAAGCTGTAATGGCCTTTTGATGAGAACTTGGTTAAATAACAAGTATACATATATGTACATCATCTTATTCGTTGTTCTATAACAGTGAGATAAATTGATTGATGATTTGCTCTTGCATCTTTATTTCAGTGGGAATAATTAACGAAAAGACAGTTCATTTTTGCACGCTTATCCTTCATGGTTGGTTTAACTGTCTGTTTCTTGAATTACAACATTTAAATCTGACTGTTTCCTCATTGGAGTTGGAGCAACAACCTGCTCAGAAGCTCAGGGTTCATGTCATTAGTAAATTCAGAAACTATTTGTATGAGAATTTGCTCACATGTGCTAATCATTCGATCTAGAGGCCCTACAAAAGCGAAAAAAAAAAGAGAATTTAATGGCCACAACACAGAAGAGTTCACTTCTTAAGTTCCCAAAGAGGGAGGGCCACGAACCTTTCACATTTACACATAATAATATTTTGTGCTTTGGTTTTTTGGAAAGTTATTCGAAACGAGATGAGATCGGATGATCTGAACTGAGCTCAGCTGAGCTGATGTGGGGATGGGAGTTTGTGTGTGATTCTCGCAAAGGAACGTAAACAATTTGCAAATGGGCAAAGAGATGCGCGTCGTGGCTGTATCTTAATGATGCGCAATAAAATTATGGCAGAAATCAATAACAGTCGTTGCTGTTGCTGTTGCCGTTGCCCACTTGCAGCAGAGAAAGTAATTATTGGCTGGTCAAGTGGCTCCGACACCCATCAAAATCAACGGACGTCTCTTATCCGATAAGAGGGGCAGTCCAGGGATGGCTGAGAGCTGCCGGATAAGGCGCGGCGCAGATGAAAGTCGCTTGGGGCGTGCGTTAGGATGGGCAGCGTTGGAATCCGTCTCCAGCCTCCTGGGGATGCTGGTGCGGCGGCTCGTTTGCGCCCATCGTCACTTGATTGAAGGCCCAGAATGCAGAAGCAGGCAACAAATCAACGCCAGGCCCCATCGTCAGCACCACACCGCAGAAAGATGAACTGCTTTTGCTGCAGATTGAGGCAGGAAACCATGCAAACTGACCTACAGCAGCAAAATATGCAGGGGCAAGAGCAGGAGTAGAGGAGGCATACGAGGGATACCAACCAGTCCCTCAGAGTTTTATTGATGCAAATTGCACGCCCAGGGCCCTGTAATCAGCTCTGTGGCCGAGGGCTGAGAGCTGTGTGCGTGTAATTTGAGCGACAAGTCGATCCCTTGGCAAAAATCCGCATCTCGATTGTGGAATTGGGTCACATTTCGTAGCGTCGAGCTCGGTTCACTTAACTGCGATGATGGGGCACATACATGGCTAGAACAGGGACGCCACCTAGTGCTCGTTGGAGTCGTTTTGATTGACAGAACCAGTGTTGCTTCGATTCGCCCTTCGGTTCGGGCTGAGCCTTGTCCTTGCCATGTAAGCGGCTTTAAATAGCTTCAATTACAGCTGAAGATTGCATAATGCTGGGGTTCGTTTCCCGCATCTTTTGCATCGGTGGTGGTGGCCGTTGCTCCTGTTTTTCCCCTTTGGGGCTTTGAATTTAATATATCTAGACATTGGGCCGACTGGCTGACTGGCAGGCTGGCAGGCTGGCAGGCTGCCAGAGAGCTTGACGAACGGCAACGGCAACGGCACGCCAGGAGGTCATGTCACAAAAATATCCATTAACACATCATAAAAATTAAAAATTAAGAAACCATACGAGTCGGCAATAAAACCGCAAAGCCTGTAAAATAAAATATCTGTACAGTAAAATAAAAACGCCAAGGCATGCCAAGATAATCGCAGAGCCGACAGACAGTGAGAAAGAGAGACCGAAAGACCGAAAGACAGAGAGACAGACGGGGAGAGAAAAGTGAAACCGGTAATTATGCATTATGTATGCACGCCACCAACGCTGTGGATTAAAGTGGGGAGACGTTGCTGGATGCGAAGAGAAGGAGCCGGAGAGCTGGGTAGCCGGGTAGCTGGATAGCAGGATGGTCAGCCCCGCAGCAACACAAAAGTCAAAGGGGAAGGTGGCGGCAGAGGGCAGCCGCAGGGTACTGGCACTGGCACTGGCACTGGGTACTGGGTACTGAGAGAGCCAGCTTACTGTCTGCCCACGCTAAGTAGGAAATACATTTCTGCGCTTTTCGGCAATTTACGTGCCATGGCGCGCGACCCGCAAACAAAAGACTTAAGCGTCGAGCCTGCAGTACCATAAATTTCACTTAATTGCATCAGGCAAAACCAGAATGCATCCAATCGATAAACAAAAAAATGCAGCCACAAATAAATGAGTCCAGCACGCAGGCAAAATGCTTAATGCCATCAGAGACAAAAACCAGACCAGCGAATAATATGCAAAGCACATAAAATTAAGTAAAAACAAAAGCCCAGGCCAGAACGTTTACCTCCGCTTCGATAGTGTTTCCATTGAAATGAAATGCATGTGGAGCAGGGCTTGGTCTCTCTTCTTCCGGCTGCTACGAGTACACGTATTTATCTTCTTCGTCAGCTGAACATTTGTCTCCAACAGTAGCAGCAACAGCGTCATCATCATCGTCATCACAGAAGCAGTAGCTCATTTTCATTGTGTTGCATGCGGAGGCTCAAGCAGGGGGGCTTCAGTTTTTTGGAAGGCAATGACAGTGAATATGCCGCTCGCAATTTAGTTTTTGTCTTTTTTGTTTGCAGAACCGTTGTAAGTGTTAAAGTCAACAATCGTGAGAAAAGAATTTTATTGTTGTTTCACCTGGGCCTCTGTGTGTGGAGGTGCACTTTTTTCGTTTCGTTTTCATTTTTGTGAATACTGAAGGTCACTTGTGCCTTGATTGCAGCGGCCGCTGTTGACTTGAGCCGCCGAGTGGCTGCGATTTTGTGAAGTTGAATTCTGTTTTCGTATCTTTTTGGCCTTTTTCGACTCTGCTCTCGCCTTTGCCGCATACGAGTATGAGTATGAGTATGAGTATGAGTATGATGCCTGCCAGCGAGACGGCCGGAAAGCCAGAAGACAGCCATCCAGCGGGCCAGCCAACAGGCCAACCAACAGGCCAGGGCAGGCAGCTCAGCTATTGTGGAGCTCACTTTTGTGGCCGTATTTCTCTGGGTTATGTCTCCGTTTTATTTTTTCTCGGGTTTTGTTTTCTTATTCCTCGCTCTCATGTTAAATTGTCCGTTTCATGTTTCTGTTTAAATGTCAGTTGTAATTTGTTGTATTAACCCATACCACATGAATTATGTTTAGTTCGAATGTAATTGATTTGAATGCAATTTGAATGGCAACAGCAACAGCAACAGCAACCACAATGGCAATATTAACAATAACGTCTACAGCTACAGCCAGAGCCACAAATTGAAAATTGCCCTCAACTTTGGCCAAGATTAAATGGAATTATGCAAAAGAGCTGCCTGGGAACAAGGCCTGATCGAAGCTAAAGCCACCACGAGTCGAATGAGAACTTCATCAAGAACTAGGTGCAGCGGGATGAGGTTGCCTTTTCCTCCATGCTGCCATCACAGCAGAATGCGAAACAGCAAAGATCAAATACTCACTTAATACCACTGTCTGTCCGACTGTCAAACTCAACAAGTAATGGGTTAATATTTAGCTCATTCCCGAAAATAGAAAATCTACATTTACGTTGACAACCCTGGCAACAATAGGCCCTGACAGCCGCTGTCATAATTGAAATGTATGATTCTGTATTCATACATTCATTCTGGATTTGTACGCATTAAATCAACAGTCTCAGTTGACGATTCGATCGCCTTACACAATTTTCTTATATTTTGTAAGTTCAAGACGAAAAAAATTCCAAAATAAAAATAAATTATCACGCGAGCTTCGGGCAATGTTTCTAACTGAGACCATGACAGATAGTGTGTGCATATTTTGCTTAGACGAACAGCGACGGCCTCGCCGGATACGCTGCGGACACTCTTTCTGCACGGAATGCTTCGAGCGCTACTTGCAGGTGGGACTTGACACTCGCTGCCCCTTGTGCCGGCAGGACTTTCGAACCCATGCAGGAGGAGAGCCTCCCGCTAATGCGCCCAACACTGGGCAGTACCCATTGGACGAGGACGACTTGGCCATGGACCTGACTGAAGACTTTGGATCCCTTTCCAGCATTGACACTCTGCAGACAGACACTCTGTGGCTGACCCTCACGGAGCAGGAGTGCCGCTTCTTCGATGAGCTCTACAGGGAGGTGCAACTGGAGGACGAACAACGACTATAATAGATCTCTGAAAATTACTCTGTTACCGAACACTGTGGTGCTCGAATGGAGCTTCTTCAGGGACCTATTTAGGTAGATGCACTGGAAGGTGTGCTGCTGGTAGAACTGTGATTTCTGTTTTTGTTTTTCGTTAGTATTTAAGTAATTTATTTATTGCCATTAAATAGCGTTTTAGACATTCTATGAAACCTTATAATCAGCTGTGGTAAAACTTTGATTGACTGAGTGTCAGGCAACCTGTTCCAAGAATATGCTCAAATGTGCCACACCCTACAGTTACCATTTACAAGAGTAAAATCCATAAAATGTATGAGCTCCCATCAGACACTACAACTAGTCTCGGGTTGCCATGTTTGCAGCTCTATCTGGAATCTCTGCTACCCAGTCACGGCTCCTCCATCTGTAGCTGCTAAAGCTGAGCCATCGATCAGCATTTGTATCTCCAGCTATGGTCCAACCGATTCTGGCAGCGGCAGGCGCAACTTAATTAGACGCTTAGACTGGCTAATTGCCAGTCGCAGGATTTGCCGCTCTGGCTGTGGCTATGGCTGTGGCTGCGTCTGAGGCTGATAAATTGATAAACTTCGGCTGCAGATGAACAGCTAATGATGGCCATTAACAGCAGTGACAGCGGCAGTCGCAGCACAGCCGACTGAAAAATGGTGCAAAAATGTTTATTAAATGTTCATGACTGACCGACGCGTCGGTCAGTGGAGCAGCCAGGCAGGCAGGCAGGCCGTACCAGGCCTAGCCCAGCAGCACCCAGCACCCAGCTCCCAGCTCCCAAGAGCTTGGCTTGGCTGCATTTGTTTGTTTGTCTCTTTGGGTCTTTATCTCACGAATCATTTTTGGCTGGCCATTTTGACAGCGTTTTGAGTCAACAACATGGCGCATGCAGCAGATACAAATCTAAGCGGCGCATTATGCAACGGCTGCGGCAATAGCCAGGGCGATCGTGCAATATACAAATGCTAAAACCAAAAACTATCTCATGGATTTGCGCAATTTGTCATCCTGGAATCAGCATCGGCATCGGCATCGGCATCGGAATCTGAATCGGAGTTGCTGTGGAGAAGAGTGGCCAGTGGGGCCACGGGGCACGGGGCACGGGGCATGGGCACTGGCAGTGCGTGTGTGCGGGCGTGGCCGTTGAACAGTTTTTATTGATAAGGCTTGGCAGGCCAGGCCTGGCCCGATGTTGCATTTAGTTGGCCAATTATTAATGCCTGTTGTCGCCGGTCTGCGTGTAATTTGTGGCAGTTGTACCAACCACTGCCGCTGCTGTTGCTGTTGCTGTTGCAGTTACTGAAACGCGATACATATTGGCGATTGCTCATTTATGAATGTCCAGGCGATGGCCGCGATGTTCGATCGTCAATCTTCGAACTTAGCCAAGCTTACATGTGATTTAACAAGCTAACAAGCAAGCGGCTTTATCGCCGATTAGCTGCACTCGATAAGAAGGGGCTTGGGGCTGGGCTCGGGTAGCCGTAGCCGTAGCCGTAGACCAAGTCGTGGCTGCCAGAAGAGTTCATTGAACGCGGCTTTCAACAGCTCGAGAAAAGCGTGGTGTGTGCACCATGCCACATGCAACATTTTTAGCATTTTTATTATCGCAAGTCATTTGTCAAATTGCTAAACTGACATTAAAGCCGCCTTTCCTGTGGGCTGATAAACCAATTTGACATTTCGCGGCGATGATCGATGGATCCCGCGCGCCTGATCCCGGGGAGTCAGTGCAGGCTGGTGACATTTTTGCGCCAATTTCGGTCGCTGGGCCATCAGTTAAGCCAGAGCCACATCAGGCATCAGACCTCCAGACCTCAGAGTGCAGCAATTCGCATTTTTCGCTTTCAGTTTTCCTGCAGCTCTTCGGCTTAAGGTTTTTTTTTTCGGTTTCTTCAGTTTCTTCGGTTTCTTCGTTTGGCGTTTGCATGCGTGGGAGTTGCACGAACTGTGTCGTTAAATAATGCTCCATGTTTGTCCTGCACGAGACCCGCGAAACACAAACCAAACCAAGCCAAACAAAACGACCAGGCCAACAAACAGACCAGCCACAACTGGAACTGGTTGGCCAGCGACGAGCGCGGAAGCGCTGCTAAAATGGCAACTGGAGCAGCGTTTTGGGTGGCCGGACGGATCGCGGAGAGTCCTACCTGGGTTGGGGTGTGCTTGGATGCGGTATGCGGGATGCGGGAACCGGGACCCGAGACCTCTGGGCCGGCCTTGCATTTGATGTTGATGTTGCAGCCGCCGCTTTGTTTAATTGATAGACGACGACGACCCACGCTGCGGCAGCTTCAGCATCAGCATCAGCCAGACCAGACCAGACCAGACCATGCCACGCGGCAGTGGCACGCGATGGCTGCTGCTGCTGCTGTTGCTCTTTGCCAGGCCGCCTGCCAGTGGCAGAAAACCCATCGAACTCAAACTGTGCGCATGCGCGCATGCGACGCGAGGCGAGTCGAGTCGAGGCGAGGCGACGTTGCGGCGTTGACAGATTGATGCCCCCTAACAGTGGAAGTCAGGGCCCCCGCTTCATTATTCAAATTACTTGTGTGTTTGTGCGGAATTTATCAAAGTCCTCCTGCAGCAAAAGAGGCAGACGATGGCCAAGAGAGTTACAGAGAGAGAGAGCATGAGGCTTGTGGGCCACTCGTCTTATTGCTCTCGTTGTGTGTGTGTTCGCGTGGGCGTCAAATGTTGCTTTCCTCTGCTCGAAATAAAACTATTTGCAGGTCAGTTAAGATAAGTCTTTGGAGCATGTAGTAGTACGTCCCAGACAACGTCCAAACTTTCCTTTTGGCTAAGGGCAGCCGCTCATTCAGCGGCGGCGGCAGCAGCCTCATTCGGCAATGGTATTGAAACTGGAACTCCAAGTCGAAGTCGAAGTTAAAGTTGAAGTTGAAGTTGAAGTCGAAGTTGGAGCTGTAACTCTTACTGGAAATGTCTGCGACTGGGTGTGGCATAAATTCTCATAAATCTATGGCCCAAAAAATCAACTCGTGTTCGAGCGAGTACATATGTAGATGGAGGTTGTACATACATATGTACATATGCTTGGCCGGAGTAATTAAAGCAGTTTAACATGTCTGAGTTGGCCAGTTTTTGGAGCTGTCACAACATCAACAAGCCTTCATTCATGCACTGCGACAGCCAAAAGCACAAGCCAGCCAGCCAGTTAGCAGGCCCAGCCAGTCCGTCCGTCAGTCAGTCAGTCATTCAGTCAGTCAGTCATTCAAAAGCCAGCCAAAAACTTGCCATAAATCAACTCATTTGAAATGCATCAAAGGCAGCAATCAGAAACAGAAACAGAAACAGTAACAGTTACAGTCACAGTCGGACAGAAACTGCCCCAAAAGAAAAACGCAGTCTGTTGCACAAATATTTTTACACGTTGCCAGCCAGATTTTCAATTGAAATTGAAATTGAACTAAAAGTGACAATGCGCGGGCGGGGCAACAGCCAACAAAACAAGCCCAAAACTGTCGATGCTGGGGCGTGTTGCACAATGTGTGAAAACAGGATCAAAGTCCTGCCTAAACATTTGTCAACCCAGCGGCGTTTATATAATCAACGATGCCATGCTGACGTTTTTTTCTTCTCTGTGTGCCCGCTCTTGTGGCATGAATATACACCAATTAAACAGTTTGTCTGCATGCAACGAACATGCATCAATCAAATGCCTGGGAGGACAAACATGTCGTCAGTCGGTCAGATCTGAACCGGAGCTAGCTCCACTCTGATTGAACCAAAAAATATGCATTCGAGGTTTGCTCCATCGGTTTCCAATGCCACAAGACAGAGCGCGACAGAGCTGCCTGCTACTGTTTGTGGCAGCCCTCGCATTGCCCTAGGAATGCCAACGCAAATGCAAATGCAGCAGCCGCAACTCTTATGACAGCCGCCTGAGCCGCAATTGAAACTGCAACTGCAACTGCAACTGCCACTGCCACTGCCCCTGGGCTGGAGGCGTGGCTTTGACAGCACTGCTCCGACTGGGACTTGGTTATTATTAGCATCGTTTGGCCAGTGCTTAATTGATTTGGTTGTTGGCCATGTTAATTGACAGCACGCACGGATGTAACATTGCGATAGCCGCCTGACACAGGCCAAAACCAAAACTCGAAAACTAAAATCGAAAAATCGAAAAATCGAAAAATCGAAAAACCAAAACCAAAAACCAAAAGCGCAGTTAGTTGGCCAGTCAGTCAGCTGTCAGTCAGTGAGGCAGCCACCGAGTCAGTGTCAGTCCAATCCCGTCCACTCCAGTCCAGTCGAGTCGAGTCACTGCTCCCACATCAGCTCCCAGCGCCCAGTTCCTGCGACTGACCATCGATCGGATCGGGGCAGCGGTGGGGGTTCAAGGGGTTTTATGGCCTCAGCCTCTACTTGCAGGGAGTCGGTAAATTTCACTTATCAAGAGCGAAACAATTAACGGCAGTTGCACGAGTTATAAATATAAATGTCAGGATGCCAGACACTCCAGACACTCACTCCAGCCTCCGAGCCCTGAGATTCGTGAGCATGTTGACCCACATGCAATTGGCAACTGCCAGCAATTTGCCACCTCAGCGAAAATTATGATCGCCAGCATTTCCTATGCCAGATAAGGCGACTCAACTTATGCACAAATGTGGATAGTGACTAGCTTGACTCTGGCTCTGGATTCAACTCTGACTGTCTCTGTCTTTGACTCTGACTCCATCTCTGACTCCAACTGCGACTGCAACTTCCCACAATATCCACACAAAGTCAACAGCAACATTTTCGTTATAATTTCTATTATTTTCCCTTTTGGCATAATTGCAGACAATTTACTTAACGATCAATAGCGTCAAACGGCAGGCAGCCTGCCTTTCAGGCTGGCATAGACGTCGAAAAATTTATTAGCTCCCGCAGCTTCAACTTCAGCATCGGCTCCAGCTCCAGCTCCAGCTCAAGCTCCAACTCTGGCTTCAGCCTCGTCCGTGGCCATGTGTTGGCCTCTTGGCAACATACAAAATGTTGCCAGCAGTCAATGCTGCTGAGCTGATGCTGCATCCACATCCGCGTGAGAGCCGCTCATCGTGCCCGGTTTTCTATCCTTGAGCCTCGCCGGCTAATGCGACCAACATTTTTCTTGGCTTTTGTGTGGTTTCTGTTGCCATAAAACATTTATTTAAAATGGAGCAGCATTTCTCCATCCACCACGGG